TTTTTTTTTACAAGCATTTAAATTTTAATTTTGACAACATACGTAAAAATCACGAAAGTTCGCAAATTATTTTAAGCTAGAAATTCATAAAAAATTTTCTTTTTAAATCTAAGATTTGAAAATGTTTAATAATCTATAATATATCCTAGATAGATAAACCGTCTCTGTTCAGAATCGTTTTTCGTATRCAATGATACCTATCATTGCATTCAAATTTAACCTACCTTAGTCAGAAGTCCACCCCACCCCCAATGTACAGCAGAGCGATACCCACTTAACCGCTTTTTTATTTTATTGATTTAGTACTAAAGTAATAACATCATCTATCTGTTTCCAGGGATGATATGAAAATATTAGTTTATTAAGTTATGCTAACTAACCCTTTTTGATTATCAAGTTTTGATTCTATTATGATTCCTTCTGCTGGAGGGTTAGGGTCAGCTCGTAAATCCAATATTTCAGCTTGGGTTAGAATCGATTCAATTAAATCATTGAAATTAGTACCATGCAAGGCAGATATTTGAACTACTTGAACACTACCACCAAATTCTTCTAGATCCAATCCACCTTGAATTTGCAACATTTTCTTACAACGTTCCTGGGAAAATAATATATATATATATAAATTAATAATAGCTCAAAAATATTACATTTTTTAATTAGTAATACATACTATATTTGCTGTTGGTTTGTCTATTTTGTTGATAGCTACAATTATGGGAACTAAAACAATTTAAAATACATATTAAAATCATATACAATATTATATAGGTACCAATTATATTTTAATTACATCTTAAATTTGTACATACCAGAATTACAGTATTATAGCCTATAGGATAAGTTGGTCATAAAAGGATAGCAATTAAGACTTAGGAGTCATTTACTCTAATTTAAGATAAATTTACAGTACATTTTATTTTATTTAATGGACCTATGTAATACGTTTTGGCTGCAAGATTAGTTTTTAATGTTAACATTGTGGATTTATTATATGAATAATAATTTATAAGAATGTATTAAGCTACTGACAAAGTGTATACCTTTTGCATGTTTAGCCATTCGTATTGACTCAATAGTTTGTTCCTTGACTCCATCATCAGCTGCTACTACTAATACGACAATATCTGTTACTTGTGCACCTCGACTTCTAATAGTGGCAAAGGCAGCATGTCCTGGTGTATCCAAAAATGTTATTTTTTTTCCATTATCCAAAATAACTGAAATCATATAAATTAAAATGTAAAATATCAAAAAGTGATTTATTAGCTTTACATTGTTATTACCTGGAAAAGCACCAATATGCTGTGTGATGGCACCAAACTCAGATTTAGCCACAGATGCATTCCTTAGAGTATCTAATAATGTGGTTTTTCCATGATCTACATGACCCATTATTGTTACAACTGGATGTCTCACAATTGTAGAATCATACGTTGCAGGAGGTCTAGAATAATTATTTTAAAATATAAATATATGGGTAAATAAGAAAATATAATTTTTTATTATTATATTAATACACTAATGGTAATATTATTATGATTTATACTTAATAATTAAAAACTAATTTGATTTAATATATTTTACCTTTTAACGGCATCTTTCAAATGATCATCAGATGATTTTTTATTTGTATTAGGGTTTGATGTTAAATTAGATTTAAATCCACACTTTTTAACAATTTCACGAAGGATTGAAACATTATCCATTTTACTTGTAGGTTCAAAATACATATGTGCATTTTGACTTAACTCAATTATTTTAAGAACATTATCTGTAATAAAATTAAAAGAGTAATATCACTAAAATCAATGTAAAATATAAAAATTCAAAGAATAATATCTAAGTTACAATAGTTTAAAATTATAACATAGGTTCAACATTATTAAGTAATTTGAACGTTGTACCTATTATTTAGAATATCTCTTTGGGTTTAATCCTAAAAAAATTGTTTTTGAATAATTTTTAACATTTGTAAGATCCTCTTGTCTACTGCAGTGGTGGTGGTAAAATGTTGTTGGATAAGATTTACTGGCACCGCCAATACAAAAGGATTTTACCGCCACTACTACAGTATGTGGTAACCTTAATTGTAATATATTTAGCTTTAAAATTCTACTGAGTAGAAATAAACAAAACAAAACTCAATACATAACAGTTTTAAAACTGTATGATAATGTAGTTATGTGTAATAGTTCATAAATACACATAATTTACCTACAGGTATTCCAGTTGCACTTGCCAATTCCGATACAGTCATATTTTTCCAAATATCAATAGTTTTATTTTGTTTTGGTTTTAAATTGATTACTGGTGAAATAATAGTATTCTAAAACAAAAAATTAAAATTAAGCTAAAATAGAATAATTCAAGCAAGTAGGTTCAAAAATCAATAGTTTTATTAACACAAGCATAACATAGTATTAAAATCAATTAAGATTTTATATTCCTTGAATATAACTATTTTTTAAATAATTCCAAATAAATAAACAACAATTAATAAGAAAATGTACTAACTTTTTCCTCTCTAGGTCTTCTCTTTTTTCTTAATGGGTTTGATGAGTATATATTAGCCTTGAATAGTTCATAATAACATACTCGCAATGGAGATCTACGAACCAAATTACTGAATCTAAACAAAATTGTTTAAATAGGTATAAATAAAAAAATAACATTTGAAATGAATTAACTCACAAGCTAATTTTCCCAACATTGTTGAACATGTTTAAAATGTATAAAACTGATAGTAACGTGCGACAAATTAACTTAAATTATTATAAACTAATCACTTATAACTTATGATGATGAAAACTATTAGATTTACACTGAGTAAGGAACATAAMCTTAGTATCCAAGTGAAGTTATAAATAAAACGTTTTTATATGAATTATTTAAGACAAAGTTTTTAAAATGATTAAATTGTTCGAAAAATAATATTTAGAACATTATAAAAAAATATTTTCATGAAAAAAATAACGTACGTTTATCACAATAATAGAAGAGTTATCACAATATTACAACTGATACGTAACTAGTTGATAACAACCATGATAATATGATCGTAGATATATAAAAGAATAAAAATTGATTAAAATGTATTAATTCTCTACAATAGTTTCAACCACCACCACGGTTTAAGATAAACGGATACCTATATCATAATCATATTATACTTAAACGTATATCTTAAATCTTAAACCGTGACTTCAACAGCAAGTTTTCTGGTAGGAAAGTGAATTTATATTGTTGATACCTACCTACTTTAAGAGGTCAAAAGTAAAAACTTACCAATAAATATCAAAAGCGACAGGAAAAAAGAATAAAAAATTAAGGAAAAAATAAGATTCTCACTTAAAACCAGTGCATTTTTACATGTTTATATCAATACTAGTTAATAATATAATTTTCGAAATATTGTATCTCTTATTGTGCTATAGGCATTTTTGAAAATTATGAGTTTTAAGAGTTTTCTGTTCATTATTGTCAATGAAAAAATGTTCAGTCAAAAAACTTGAAAATCTTATACAACGTTCCTCGTAAATTGCTTAGTTGAAATAAAAAAAAAAATTGTTCACAAATCCACAATAATTTTTTATGAGAGTTTGAAGTTAACATTTTAACGAAATTCATATAATCACGGAGATTGGTATATTATTTTAAGTTAGAAATTCATACAAAATTTACTATTTATAGATGATATCTAAGATTTGAAATTTTTAAACAAGATTCCCCTTCAATTTTCATACATTAACAAAAAAATTTAAAAATTAGATACTAGAAAGACAAATTAGTTTTTTGCGGTCGTTTGAAGTTTTACATTAGATATTCAGTAAATATTTATCAGTAAATTAACCTATTCCCCCACGGCCCCACAATGATTTTCTCATTTTGTAGTTTTCAAAAACTATTAGCCGCTAGGTCCTTGAAATTCATAAAATTATCCTTCCTGATTTTTAATATTTTTTCTTGACATATTTGATAACACTATGGTGTTAAACAATTTGAAAATTTTCTCGAAACTAAAAAAAAAAATTAAAATCAGGAAATTAACAAAAACACAATTTTGAAACATCAATGTTATCAGAAAAATTAACTCTACAAAATATAAAGTGATTTTTTTGGAAATAATTAAATATATTTCTTAACTTTTTTACCAAAACATAAAAATAAGAAATAAATTGTAGTTCTTATCCCTGTGATTCTTATTACAAAACCAGAATTTTGATATCTCTATTATTTTGGGAGAAAACGCAATGGGTAAATCCTCGGGGGACAACCTGTTTATTCGTCTATAAATATATATAAAATATACTTATTAATTTATATAAGTATCTAATTATTAGTATATTATTACTGTCGTGACCGATGTTATTTCCCAGAATTTTATAATTAACAAAAACATATTTACCTTTAATTCATAGATTTACCTTGTAGAGAAAAAATATCGAGTAACATGTTACTACACGGAAGATTAATATTAATTCTTAGTTATTCTTAGTTACCTTCTAACATAAATAAAAAAACGATACTTTTTTTCTTCTGGCTTGAACAAGGAAACATTATAATAACAATGCATCTTACTATCTTCACGCAATGTTTAAACATGTAATTTTCATTCGTCATTGTTTTTTCAAAGGTCTACCTAAGTGTTACAATTCTTAATTTTGATTTTACAAACATTTACAAAGCTATGACTCATGAGCTTAAATTCTTAATCATCGGAGTTTTACGTGTAGGTGTTATCGGAATGTTAGCATTTTTAAATAAAAGACATCTGATTGAATCGTATCATGTTTTACGGAAGAGTATGCCAAAGAAAATGGTAAAATGTGTTGACCGTGATGAATTAAGGAATATGAGAAAAGCGGAATCTAGGAAATTCGATATACTGGTGATATAAATTATTTTTGTATACTATATGTATATAAGCAACGTAACATGTAACATCATATTAATACTATGTGATTATCCTTATTTTTTAGATAAGTCTGCGTGAGAAATTTATCAATGCAGGTGTTCAAGTAAATCTACAACCAGCAACTGTATTCGATAATATTGATAAAAAAGAGTTTCAAAAAGTGAAGGAAATAAATCTGAAATTAGAAAATAGATTGACCGAATTGGAAGGTATAGTTGTTTCATAATAATAAGACACGGATAACTAATATTAATATTATTTTATTTTATATGTATAAACACCTTAAATAATCAATACCTATTATAATAGAAATGATCAAACGCAGTGATGAAAAACAAAAGATTCGAGATATACAAGTAACTTCCTAATTATTTTTTATAGTAGTTATTACCTATATTAATAAAAATATATTTTTATATCCTAATGGAAAAGAACTCCTTTATTATATAGTTTTAATATTATCTCCTTTTAGCTATTTCGTGTAATATTTTAGAACCTTAAGAAATCTCATATAAGTAACCTACATTTGTATTCGATTTTAATTTTGAAAACTACTTTGAATTCCTCAATCTCTTATTTAAGTTTTGTATGAAATGAATTTTTGATTCTTATATTGTTTTAATTTAGTACCAGATTAATTTTTTTTTTTTTTGGATTTTGCTCTATATTGTCGTTAAAATATAAAAATAGAAAAAAAAAACACAGACAAGAATCAAACAAAATTAAATATTTTTCATAATTAAAATTAGAATTCTTTTTCATTACTAATTATTGATTATTAGTTGTTACCTATTAGCTATATTATACTATATTATATTATATTATATTATATTCATTTTTATAAATTAACTTGGTAATTTGGATTTAATACAAAGGTTCGCGTTGTTAATAAACATTACATTTGAAAATGTAAAGTTAAATAAATGGCTCACAGGTATATCCAGAACTTAAGCACGACAAATTAAATATTCTTGAATTGTAGTTATATAAAAATTATATGTGATAGGTGCACACATTTACAAACTTATGCGCAATACATTTGCGTATAAATATAGAAAACTACGAATAAAATATATTTAAAATAATATTGATATTTAGATATTTAGTTAGGAAATACTAATTTAGACCTAATGTTATTGTTATTTATAAAATATAAGGAAATATTCACAAACATATTTGATATAATATACCAACATACCTATTACCTCATGAACAGGGTTCGGATTTTATAGCATCAAAAATCCTAAAATATGCGCTATAATATGACCAAAAAAACCCGTAAATTATGCTCTATAAATAGTCCCTAAAAAAATCAAAAATAGCAACAAATAAAAATAAATACAAATCAAAATTGTATTCAATTTATCATATATCTTTATTAAATCATATATTTATAAAAAAAAAACTAAAATCTCTGTATGCAGTTTAAAAAACTTTGTATGTACTGATTAACTATTGATACCTTGAATTATAACATCGTTTGAACGCAACTATTCAAAATTATCTGAGTAAATAAGAATAAAATTTCAATTTTTATTGATTCGCATTAATGATTACCATTTGTCACGAGATTTATGAAAAATTTAAAATAAAGCGTTGAATTAAGAATATTAGCAAAACATGGCAYCAAAACTTTAAAAGTAGCACTAAGATTCTAAAATTCTTCAAATATGCAAAAAATGGCAAAATAAAATTTCATATTTAAAGTCCCCGGTGCATTAAACAAATGTACAGCCCACTCTGCTATTTTTATCTCTATCCTATAATAAGTAGCTAATGCTATAAAATCCGAACCCTGCTCATGAAGTATCTATATTAACACAAAAACATAATTCAAATCACGGAAGTACGAGTTGATATTAAAAAACTATCTGTGCCATTTGCATATCAAAATTGGATACTGACAACTGCATGTCATCAAAGAAATTTCATAAAATAATAACACATCGCTCCCTAATTAAAATACAGTGGTATAGAATCTAAATATTTATAGCACTAATGATTGGTCAAAAAAAAAAATTACCAATTGTAAGGTGTTCTTAAATTGGTGTTGAGTGGACTGTATCCTTTTGATTCTTAAATTTATGTTGAGTGGAGAGTCAACACCGCGCAAAGTCTGCCCTGGATGGGTCTTGCTATGGTGAGGTAGGTAGGAATACTGTACCACGCAAGTCTGCCCTGGGTGGGTCTTGCTATGGTGAGGTAGGAAGGAATACTGAATGATTTTGTGCTCTGCACTCCGTTTTATAATCTCGGTCTCGTCTGCTGCGGCGCTGTGTACTAACATAAACCGCCCATGATTGTCTGTGGTTGGTTATTGCGTACGGTCACGTGGCGGCGCTGACCAATACATTAGTTGTTGCCACCTTCGAAACCACGCCCACAGCAGTCCGATTAACTGCTGCGCGTGGTGCAATGTCCGGCGTGCAGATCCGGCGCGCTACGCACAAGTTCCCGTACATGGTATTGACGTTGGGTATGGCCAGGTGGCCGGGTGACAGGGTGGCCGGTCTCGTGTTCTGTGACGGAACGAAGGGCGCCCGCCAGTCTGGCGCCAGCCTAATCAGGAACAGAACACGGCACCGACGCCGTGTGGTACCGGCATTTGTCCGCATACAATGCCGCCCTGGCTCATTTGAGCCTTAGTAGTTATTACTAGTGTAATGRCYATTATGATATGAYGCGCATTCCTTATCGCAGAATATACACGGGTCATCAGCAGTTTGATTGAGCAAGTTTGTACTATCGTGTACCTTATTGCAACCGGTGCTCTGTGGACCAGTCTGACCCGTGCTCTACATAATACATAGATCCGGCCGGTACAGTCGGCGGGAGGTTGGTAGCTCATGTACGCCTCCCGACGTCAAACGTGCCCGCCGTTGCAGCGTCTATTCGTGACGATCGGCCAGTTAGAGTGCCGACCGACTGTATTCCGAATCTCATGCTATTATGCAACGTATTTTGGTCAACGGCCCATTAGAGAATAATACATATTTATTTTAATTGATTTCTATATTACATATTGAGATATTTTAAGACAAACGTTACGTGTTGCGCGAACAACACATAACATTTGAGACCACATTATGGGCCAGTTATATTAATTGACTGGGTTGTTAAATTAATGAATGTAAGGTTGAAAATATATGAAAAGAACCTAACACAATAAAAAACATAAAATCAAATGAGAAATCAACTATAACCGAATAAATTTGTATGTCTTTCCACGACATTGACGCCACCGAGTAATCGGTCCGGGTTCGGACTGTAGCTAGGCATTAACGGATCATAACAGCTGCACACCAGGCGGGCACCGAAAACGTGCGTCCGTGTTTTACACGTCCCGATAAAATGATCAACAGAAATAATTCCACGCTAGTATGGATAATAKWAGTTTAATATATCTTGTACTTACATAATTGATACGATGAGAAGTTTTTGAGTAGAATGAGTAGGTATAGATACTAGATTGTAACTATTTGGTTGGGTTCGCATGATCCCCGATGATAGTATAGGTGACGTTGTCCGTAGTTAAACTGCAAGACGCAAGTGCCAAGTGTACTGACTGATTTCGTGATTAGCATTAATTTAGTTTCTTAAGAGGATGTCACACCAAAACCTGTACGCATGCAACGCTCCAGAGATGGCGTTGATCGCCATATCGCCGCCGTCGCGGCAGGCTGTAACCACGCCCATTGACTCCGTGACGGGGTCCTCACGTCGTAGTCACGGGAGAGGCACTTTATTATTCTAAAGACCGTCGTGTCGAGTATTACGCGTCAGATGTAGTTGACGACAGTAGCGTATTTAGGCCTACGACCTATGTATTTCTATTAGATTCTGAGCGGAGCGATGAATTGTATTGATTTTACCATGATGTGTGTCTTTATTTATTTTTATTTTTTTTTTTTGTGTCTGTCATCACGTTTTCGGGCAGTAAAAGTGCTTCGATTTTTGACTTCAGTRCCTCGTTCGATCAGAAAGTGAATCTAGTTAATACTTTTCTAAATAATCGAGAAAAACAAACTAAAAATTAAGGGAAAAACTGGAAATTTTACAAAATCGATTTTGGTTTTTGATGTAATTTTAAAACAAATTACCATAGATACATGAAATTTTCACCGAATGTTTATATAAGTATATTCTAT